AGATGAAAGGGAAGAGAGTGACAAGAATTCCAATCTTTCAACAATTTCCCATTGGGGAACATGTAGATGTGATTTTCTTTGATTCCTGAATACTATCTAAGTGGAAATAATTAATGGGTTCTTTCAAATAAAAGGACATTTTACAATCCCTTTAAATATCATGGTGTTATGTCTCATGTTTTTACATTTATTCTGGCTGTCAGCTGTTCCTTTGTGTTCAGGTTTGGTCTCATAAGGATAATGTAGCACTTGGGGATGAAGATGCAGACCAGCAGACCAGCACTGGAGGCCAGGATGGAGAAGACCTGCACGGCTACCATGAATTTCCCTTTGGTGCTCAGGTAGGTAGGCAGGAAGGAGACCCAGACGCTGCAGAAGACCAGCATGCTGAAGGTGATCAGCTTTGCTTCGTTGAAGGCCCCAGGCAGATTCCTGGCCAGGAAAGCCACCGTGAAGCAGATGGCAGCCAGGAAGGCCATGTAGCCAAGAACAACATAAAACATAGTGACAGAGCCTTCGTTGCATTGAAGGATGATTTTTCCAGGCTGGGAATGCAGGTCAGAGTCAGGGAAAGGAGGGGAAACTCCCAGCCAGATGGCACAAATGAGAATTTGGCCAGCAGAACAAGAAAGGATGATGGAATTGGCCACACTCTTTCCCAACCATCTTTTCACTTGGTTTCCTGGTTTTGTGGCCAGGAATGCCAGCACCACTGTGATTGTTTTGGCCAACACAGAAGACACAGCTACTGAGAAGACAATGCTGAAAACTGTTTGTCGGAGCAGGCAGGTGGCTTTCTTTGGCCGGCCAATGAAGAATAAGGAGGACAAGAAGCAAAGCAGGAGGGAGACCAGGAGAATGTAGGAGAGGTCCCGGTTGTTGGCTTTGACAATGGGAGTTTCTAGATATTTAGAAAATATGATTAAAACAAATCCGGTGGTTAGGAACAAAAATAAGGCAAAAGAGACCAGGATAATGCCCAGATTTTCTTCATACGACAGGAATGTTATTGTTTTGCAGATACATTGGATTCGTTTCTCGGTTGAATATTGATCATCTGGGCACTTGGTGCATTTTTCAGCATCTGAGAAAACAGAAAGTAATATTTATTTCTGTTATTTATCTTTTAGTCCTTGATCCAACTGCTCACTTTCCATGGTCCACCCTATTAGATATTTCTGCTTGTGTGTCTCTGTGATCTTAAAATTGATCGCTTGGTTGATATACCTTTTGCCCTGTAAGATAAAGTTGGTTTGGGCCAGGGATGAAATCCTCCAGTTTCAGTCTGGTTCAGCCAAACTGGTAGGGATGATTGTCGTTGGTTCTGTGAACTGGTAGTAAAAAAAAAAAAGCTTCCAAGGATTGTGCAGTTCAGCTGTGAGCCACGCGATCATCGGAAGCTTTTTCCCCACTTTTTAAAGCATTTATTCCTGCCTATTGACCAAACCTAGCAGGAAAAATTTGCTTTAACAAGTGAAAAAAAGTTGGCCTCACCCACCCAATCACATGATTCCCCCACCCCTCACCAAGCCACAGAACCAGTGGCAAAAAAAAAAATAGATTTCACCACTGATTTGGGTGAGCAAAAGCCATTGACCTAAAAGCATTTCAAGAATTTCAGATATTCCTCAGAAAGGTTAACTACCTAAGAAGCCTGCCCTAAGAAAGGATGGACACTCCCAAAGTGACCAGTAGAAGGGAAATTTCTTCTGACAGAAGTGAATCCATCATGTCCTCCTATCTCATTCTATTTCATCCTTCAAGATCTTTTTCTTGATCATCCCATTATGGAAGAAATTGGATGCTTTGGAAATAAAGTGCAAAAACAAAATCATCACCCCTAGGTGTCTCTTTTAACAGGCGCATTGTTCAAAATGCTCTGGAAGAATCCCGTCCTCTTTCCTCCGGTGTCACCCACCTTCCTGAGTGGAGATGGTCCCCTCCGGACAAGGGACGCAGTCGTAGCAGCAAACTGGCTCTCCTTCCCGAACCTGCTTGAAAAATCCAGGACGACAACTTTCCACACATTTGGACTGAGGCAGGGACTAAACAGAAAAAACAAGGAATGCCAAAGAAAATATCTTTTACATGGAAAATGGATGTAGACCTCGACATTAGCCAAAGAATAAGATTTCTGGTTGATGTTGCAGCTAAAATGGACTGAAAATTAGCGGAGCTCTGATGAGCCCTGTGAAACCCAGTCGGTACCCACTGCCAGGAGGCCTTCGGACCGAGCCAAGGTGG